AGTGAAATTCATTTGCTTGAAGCTAAAGAAAGTAAACGACAAACTCGCGAATATCGTCAATAATTCATATGAATTTTCCCAAAGCCAGCATGCATTGTCCTTCTATATATACCCCTGCATAACTTCACACCTGCTCTGTTCACTAAGACATATAAAAAAGGTAAATTGTTATTGAATGATTACTTTGCCATATGGCAGCATGACAAAGGTAGTTTAGATAATTTCTTGTTTTTAATTAATCAGATTTACTGCAATGTTAAGTTGATAATGGAGATGGAGATGAAAAGATGGGAACAGCAAGTTCAGCAGAAAGAAGACAACTAGATCAAGGAAATTTTTTCCATTTTTGAAAAAATAAATCGCAATAGAAAAAGAGATGAACAATCGGAAACCAAGAGAAATCTACAAATAGCCTATTCTAACCAAGGGCTTGAAATATGATAATCAAAATGGTAATTTAGGAAGTAACAATGATAAAGTAACTTCAAAACTTGTCGGTTAGCACATCATAATCTCTGCCTAAGTTTAACAAAAAAGTTCATTCTTACCAAATAATGTTGTTAGAGGTTGGTGCAAAGCGTACTGTCCATCTGTAACTACGGAGCTTTTTCGACAGACTCGATGTTCTCGGGGTGGCCAGTTTTGTACAGCTAGTGAGATAGTCATTCAAAATCCTGAGAGGATAAGCCATATAGGCATTCATTTATATGTTTATCAGTGGAAAAATAGAGGATTAATTGGAATTAGATATTAAAAATTTATTTTTCGTATTTTAAGTGGAGTTTCGAAATTTTGTGAATAAATATCCTATTAAAAATTAATTGATTTAAATTAGGGAAAAGACCTTAAGAAAAAACGATATAATTTGGAAAGATATGCCTTAATTAGACAAATATAAGCAAACTCGAAATACAATAATACAATTATTGTATATTTCAGATAAGACACTATTTGAAGATAGTAAGAATAACAAGAGGAGCTGCATCCCCACTAGAATGTAGACAATAGGTTTTAAAAATTCATTTGAAAATGTAATAGTTAATTATGTGACAGACGAATCCGGAATTAAATAATGACTGAGAGAAGGTATTTTAAAGACAGTGGATAAAAATGAGTATAGATCTAAAAAACTACGATTAATATAAAGTACTATTGTCAGGACAGTTTTACCAATAAACAAATTTCAGCAAATAAATAGAGAATCAATGAAAAGTTGACTCCAAGGTCTTAAAGACCACCAACATAGACGTTTCCCTCCAATAAATGGACAATAAATATTTGGATATACAGAAAAACCTTAAAAATTATTTTACTTTTGAAGTGCCTTACAGGGCCGCGTGTTCCTGCTTGGTAAAGGTAACGAAGACAATGCCGATTTGCGTTTGTACTGCCTTTGATCTTTCTATAGCGAGTGAATGTGAAAGCGAATTCATTTCATGGGAGTAGAAGTCGATTGCATCCACTGGTTTACAACTTTCACAACAGCTAGCAGTGTGAGGACTATAAACACGTGGCAGTTTATCAACACTAGTCAGGCATGATAAAGTATCAGGATCTTTGGTCAAAATATTCTGAACGTTATCATCTTCCTCATTCTCGACATCGTTTAACCCGGGCTCCGAGTCAGGAATATCGAGGTTCGTATTGTGTAACTCGAAACATTGAAAGGTCGACGTATCTCCATCAAGAGTTGTGGATGCTGTGACCTGATAGAGAGGAGGTAGAGTTGTAGATGAAGGCTGCAAAGGGAGGGGCAATTGCTCAGTTGAGTCCGTCAGCTTTTTTGGTTCGATTTCGGATTCAAAACCGCAGCAACAGTAGCATAAACAGCTTGCATGATTACCAAAGCATGAAGAGGAATTACATGGGCGATTAGTATTGGTCTTTGCAGACCGTGTGCCAATGCAACGAACGCAGAGCCAGCCACAGGACCGTGGTATCATCAGTGGCAGACGGCCAGTCTTCTCATACTGATGCTTGGAATAATTCAAGGCTATCTCTGCTGCTTCCCTTAAAGAAATAAAAACAATGATAATATTCTAAATATAAGGCGATGGTAACTATTATCATGGACAACTAAAAATTGTTTACTAAGGCAGTGAGGCACTTAAAAGATAGAAAGGAAGTTAAGTATAGCCAAATTTTAGGAATATTTTTATATAGTTTAATAACAAGGTACCGGCTCTCTGTAATTTACGAGTTTAACAAGGTGATAATATATAATATAATAATATAAGTTTATTCATAAAAAACTAAAAATGCCTGAAATGAAGTGGTTATTACAGTAGCAATGGCAGAAACCATACTGGAAAATTATGGAAAAAGAGCTGAAGTAGGATCGTATTTCCGTCATAATTAAGAAAAAAAGATATAAAAGCTAGCGTGAAATAAGATAAACCAAATATAAAATAAAGGTATGAAGACCAGAATGGTGTGTCCTTTGGTATGGTCGCGGTGTCCTTTCATTGTATAGAAGTTGTTTGACCTTGCTCTCGCAACTTGGTAATATTGGCAGGCAGACCTAAAGGAACGCACCTAGTCCGGAATCCATAGCATGCATGATAATTTACAGTCGGACCGTGGACTTGTTACATTCTGTGTGAATAGGTTTAAAATAGCTCTAGATAAGCGAGTAAGAAATTATGATATTGGAGAGGTGAACAAGGACATAGGTTAGGTGAATAGCCTAGGACAGAAGGAGAGATACCGCAACAATTTTGTAAAAAAATTGTCAAAGAATCGAATTCGCTTGTCTATTTCACAAGTTGTAGTGTGGTGCTAAGGATTGCAAGGCTCACTGACGATGCCGGCGAAACTTCTGAGAATATACTAAGTACACGGTCCGACTCTGGAAATTATAATGCATACTATGGACTCCGGAATAGGTCCGTTCCTCTAGGTCTTCCTTCAAATATGACCGAGATGCGAAAATAAGGTCAAACAACTTTAAATATAAGGTGGTTTGAAAAGGTATATTAATAAAATATGACAAAATAAAAGAACGTACTCTAAAGAATAGTATATTCCGATGACATATTATAAATATGGCATAATAAAGATAAATCTAAGAAAACTGTCCACGAGTACTGACGTATATAAATCGTAAGACTCATTTGCAAATAGATTAATTTATTAATTCACATAAAACCAAGGATTCTTTCAGACACCAATGTGAAGAGATTAGAATGGCCCAATATAAAGCCTCTGTCCTTAGAAGTTAATCAAAAAGGCCTAGTGATCCAAAACCAGTAGTATGTGCCAGAAGGAAAGACTAAGATAATTAGGTAAAAATTAACTAATTGTGAATGGCATTTTGACAAACCGTACGTTGAAGACAATAGGTATGGCTTAGAGGTAACTGGGTTACGATGAATCTCTTAAGATAATATTATTAGGGGGACTTTCAGTAAAGGAGTAAATAATACTTGCTCCGTAATGGGTAAAGTCAAACAGGAAAAAAACATGAAGCTTAGCTAAGAACTGTGTTCACTCTAGCTCATTTAAGATGATGAAGGACTGTTAAACGAATTTTCACACATTGGTATGATTATGCCTTAGGTTTCCATTGAATTTCACATAGATTTGCTTTCCCGAAGATATTGTCATCAAAAATGGACTGCAGTTTCAACCTCGAGTAGGTCTTCTTAGAACCAATAGCGGGACTAGCTCGGGTTGTGGTATAGCAGAGTATAATCTCGATGATTTAACCACGTCACATAGCCAATGCCCACTGGCCACAGAGCAAAAATGAATTTCAAGGAAGCCTAGATATACCCATAACACATTTTTGTGGTGGGACTGTCGACAAAGCAAAGTTGTTATGAAGATCGAGATCGTATGCCTTCCGTCTTGGTCGCAGTCTCCTTTTGATGAATATAAGTGGTCTGACCTCGGTTTCGCAATTTTGTCGTCGTGTTGTTAGAACGATCTAGTTGGGCATACCTTGTCCGAATTCTTCTGCTGTTGTAGTTATAATAATTCCCAGCGATGGACCGTGAACTTTTTACATTTCAAGACGTTTTAACGACATCGTAGTCGGCAATTTCTGGGAGCCTTGTCATTTACAGTACTAAGCTACAACTCGTCAAGGAGACAAATAAAATTAATCCCTTCGAAGGAATAACTTCAACATCATGGAAAGGTAACCGCTCCTCTGCTTATACTTACATTATAAATTTGATTTTTTAACAAAGTCAAAAGTCGATGGCAGGACGAGGATTATGAAAGAAAAGCAAGGATAGAGGAAGGTTCACAAAAGTGGATATTTCTACCTTCCTGCAAACTAACTCAGGAACTAGGGCGAATACAAAGAAAATGGAATATTGAGGTGGCCACTAAGGAAAAACAGCGATCTTCACAAGTGTAGAGAGGTTGTTTGAGTATGAAGACCAAGATGGTGTGGCTTTTTGTGTGGTCGCAGTCTTCTTTCGTTGTATAAAGGTTGTTCGATCTTGTTTTCGCAACTTGGTCATATTGGTAGGAAGACTTAGAGGAACGCACCTTGTCCGGAGTCCATTGTACTGTTTTCGCAACATGGTCATATTGGTAGGAAGACTTATTGGAACGCACCTAGTCCGGAGTCCATTGTCTGGATGATCATTTCCAAAGTTGAACCGTGGACGTGTAACATTCCCAAACGTTTCGCCGGCATCGTAGTCGGCACCGTCAGTGAATATCGCCATT